ACGGTGAGGAAGACGTTGGAAACGATTAAAGGGTGTAAAATGAAGCGATTAGTGATAGGTTATACATGGAGGCTTGCCTTAAGGGCTGATCAGATCTAGGGTTGAAGAAGCCAACTAAGTGAGGGGCGGGACCATGCTACAGGTGCGCAATATGCAAATAAAGGAGAGAGTCTGACAGAGCTAGGCCAAAAGTGTTATGTGCACTCTTGAAGCGAACTCATTGTCCAGTGGTTCTTACAGAGGGAAGGGGAGGTCGCGGGCTCAATGCCAATCCCAAGGGGCGAGCATTCAAGACTGTCAGGTGAAGGGGTGGGCCCGATTCGAACGCGAGGCGGGGCTATGCAAATGAGGGTCGCGGTCCGGTGTGGGGCCCCTGCTCCCTGGGCACCAGCGCAACTCACCAGCCTGGGTGATGTCTGACAGGTCGTAACTGCGGGCCGCGCCCCGGGGGAAGTGCTTCAAACGCCGGTTGGACAAGTTCAGGGTTCCGGTGGCCACAGCCTCCTCTAGGGCTCGTTCTGCGCTACGGCTCCCGGGTAGACCAGGAGACCCTGGCACGGAGACTGAAGCAGCAGCTTCCTCACCCCCGGCGCCGAGTGGGCCCGCTACCGCCGCCGCCATCCGCTCCCGGCGGCTCCCCTTGCCTGACTGACGGCACCGGCCGGCCCTTCTCGCCCTTCCCCCTCCTCGGAGCCGCCGTAGTCTCCACCGGAGGGAGGAAGCGAGGGTCAGGAACCCTGCGGACCAATCATAAACCAGAGACGCGTTAGACGTGCCCAATCAGAAAACGGCAAAGGGGTGGAGCCTCTCAATTCTAGACTACACTGAGGGACGGGAGGGGGCAAAAGCGGAGCACCCCGCCAACGGCCGCGGTTCCTGGTCGGCCCGCCCCACTCAAAGACATCCAATCACAACTCTGAAGACTGGAGATGGAGCCAATGAGACCCCCCAGGAGGCGGGGACTACAGCTCCACTTTAGGGGATTAGAGACCCAGAGACCACAAACCTGCGGGTCAACCAAAACCAATTGCAATGTAGATTTAGGCTAGTGATTGAAGAAGACCAATTAGAACCTTCAAAGGGAACCTGTCCCGTCCTCTTCTCTGAGGGACGGTTCTGCCTACCAATAGCATGGGCAAGGAGATGCTCCATTCGCTAGACAGAAGGCGGGTGAGCTAGAATTGTTGAGACCCAGGTAAAGACAGTAAACGCGGCGCGCTGGGCTGGCTGACAGTGCAGGGTTAGAGCTGGGTGCTAGCTGGACTTGTTAGGGAGCAAGCCAGCGTCCGGAAAGTGAGAAAAGGCGAGGGATGCCCCAGTCAGTCCTCAGGCTGTTGTCTCAACAGAAGGGACCATTTCCGCCTGCGCAGTCTGAGGAACGCATAGGTTGACCGGTGAGGGTGTTTCCAGTTGAGAGAGGGAAAGTCGTCAGACCTGCCATCTCCACCAAAGTCTCCCTGGAAAAGACTTGTGATGGCCAGACCAAACTTTATAGAGACTACGAGGATCTCATGGTCTCTAGAACAAAATCGTTGGGGGTTTTGTTGGCTGATTGGTTGGTTGGTTGGTTGGCTTTCTGAGACAGGGTTTCTCTGTGCCCTGGAACTTGATCTGTAGACGAGGCTGGCCTCGAACTCAGAGCTTCACCTGCCTCTGCCTCCCGAATGCTGGAACTAAATGCGTGCATCCACCGCCTGGCTAAGACCTTCGTGGGGTTTTTTGTTGGTTGGGTTTTTTTTAAATAAATGAGGAAAGGGAGACTGGACAAATCTCAGGCCTCCACGTAGAACTCCCCTCACCCCCCACTTTCATAACAGACTTTGTTGGAAACCTCTTATTTGAAGGCGGGTGTGGTGGCATGAGCCTGTCGTGAAAGTTCTTAAAAAGGGTAGTCAGAAGGATCAGGACTTCATTTCAAGCAAACCTGGACTACATAGCTCAAAACTAACTTTTTTTCTTTTTTCTTTTCTTTTTTTTAAACTTCTTGAGATACAGGAAGGAGTCCCAGATCTGAGCGATAGTAGTAAAAGAATACTTTTTTTTTTTTTTGAGATTTACTTTTAAAAGAATGTTAGCATTTAATGAACCTCCCCGTGTGGCTTCGAGTTGCTAGGAAACAGGCACCCCAATACCCTTAATCGCCTCGGCTTCATGAGGTTAATCCTGTGGGTGAGGCATGCCACTAAGCGTCCCCCTTCCCCTCTTGAGCGCCTCCACTGCTCACCAATGTGGCTGTAGCTGTGGCTAACATGGCCCCGTAATTTCAGTCTTTTTTTTCCTCAATGTGGGTGACATGGTGACCTGAAGGAAAGAGGGAGACCGGCTTTCTGAGACAAGATCCCTTATAGCCCTAGCTGGCCTCTAACTGGTAATGTAGTTAGAAATGACCAGGAACAACTCCTGACTGTTACCACCTCTCACGTGCTGGGGTTATAGGTGTGCACCCTCATGCAGTGCTCGCTTAAGATCTTTTGTAGTGACAGAAGACCCCAAGTCTGCTTCCTGTGTCACCTGAACACCAGTAACTGAAGTTGCTTTCGTGTCTCAAGTCATACCTGCTATGGTGACATGCCCAAACACTAGATTATTAAAGACTGGGGGCTGGAGAGAGGGTTTAGCTGGTTAAGAATGTATAGTGATAAACCGGGCAGTGGTGGCGCACGCCTTTAATCCCAGCACTTGGGAGGCAGAGGCGGGTGGATTTCTGAGTTCGAGGCCAGCCTGGTCTACAGAATTCCAGGACAGCCCGGGCTACATAGAGAAACCCTGTCTCGAAAAACAAACAAACAAAAAAGAATGTATATTGATCTACATCTGTTCGAAGCACCCAACAGAGTGGCTCACAGCAGCCTCTATCTCCTGCTCCAGGCTGTCCAGTGTTGCCTTCTGGTCACCACAAGCATTGGACTCACAGGCATGTCCCTACACACACAGAGGCATACACAATTAAAAAGAAATTAAGTCTTTCGGGGCTGAGGAGAGAGAGATCTGAGAAGCTCTGAGCACTGGCTGCTCTTGCAGAGGATCCAGGTTTTATTCGCAGCAACCACATGGCACTTTACAGCCATCTGACACTCCCAAGTCCATGGTATCCAGGAATTTATATGGTACGCATATATGGTACACACACATTCTCTCTCTGTCTCTCTTGTTTTACAAAGTAAATCTTAAAAAAAAAAAAAAAAAACTTGAATGTAGCGGCCCATGCCTTTAGTCCCAGTAATCAAGAAACAGAGGCAGGTGGATCTCTGTAAGTTCAGGGCCAGCCTGGCCTAGGACAACTGAGTTCTAGGACAGCCAGAGCTACATAGTGAGACTCTGTCTCAAAAAGAAAATAATGTAACACTTAAAATTTGGACTGGAGCCGGGCGGTGGTGGCGCACGCCTTTGATCCCAGCACTTGGGAGGCAGAGGCAGGCAGATTTCTGAGTTTGAGGCCAGCCTGGTCTACAGAGTGAGTTCCAGGACAGCCAGGGCTACACAGAGAGACCCTGTCTTGAAAAAAAAAAAAAAAAATAAAAAAAAACAGAAAAAAAATTAGACTGGATAAATAGCTCAGGGGGTAAAGGAACATTCAGTTCTCGGGACCCACGGGCTAGGAGGGAAGAAAATGCTCTCAAGTTGACTTGTGTGCTATATAGCTTGCACACACACACACATGCTTGTGCACGCACACACGATGGATGCAATGGAATTCCTTTTCATCATTAAAATTCCTTCTTAGGTTCCCAAAGTAGATGTGTGCTAGTTACCGTAGGAAGCAGGGATAGGAGCCCAGGGCCGTGCACATGTTACGCTCAAGCCCGGCATGTGAGCTGCATCTCCTGGATAACACATACGTTGGCATTGGTGTGGGTGATGAACAGCTGGCCAGAGCAGTCAATGAATGCATCTGCTGGGCTCTCATGCACTGGTTGTCTAACAGGACTAAATCCTTCTGAGCCCCTGAGAAAGCTATATTCCCTACATGTATTGGTGTAGACCCGCCCCTACCTATCAGATGTCACCTCATCTGCTGGTCCTCCCAGACAGGATGTCACTCTACAGGAAACGCCAAGTGCCTGGACTCAAGGATGCCCTAAAGAAGAGCTCATTCACCCTCCCCCTATCTCAATAGCTTGTCCTCAACCCATGCAACCAGGCTGCTGGCCGTCAGGGAAGCAGCCCGTGAATCCGGACTTGTTTTCAATGAGATTGTAAAGAATTTGCAGTCACTTGTTCTCACTTGCATCTTGCTTTTGTGAGCAGGAGGTTAGGTGAGGGTCTCCTTTTCTCCATTGTCTTTGTCGGTCAAAGTTTTATTTTGTTTTAT